GCAGCCGTCATTGTTGTTTGGCGGGTCCGGGCTGGGGATTTGAACCCGCCACCTTAGGTGTATGTGGCTGGCGCCTTAGCCGGTTGAGCTATAGGTGCCGAGCCACTTTGCTTGATTCTTTTCTGTGGGTATTTCAACTCATAATTCCATTTTATTCTGTTTCTGTCTATATTTCATTTTCATTGTACTTTCGCCATACAAGAAGATCTCAATTTCTACAGATCACTTGGCCCCACTAAGCAGTTCCCATTTCCAGAGCCTTGGCTCCAGCTCCCTGTCATTCTTGCTTCCTCAGTGTAGTGCCATGTTTGTAACCTCAAGCTCCAGAGTTTTTTACAAGGTCCTGAGCTACCCTAGGGCATTTCATATTTAGGTAGCCATAACTGTTGATTTAAGGGCTGGACAGAATGCCCACTCCACTGTTGTGTCGGAGAGAATGTTTATATCCTCCAGGACCACTCAGAGTTGATCTTTTTTCAATCTCAAAGTTGTCTTTTATAAAATTCTAATGAAGGGGCCAGGCACGGTGGCTCACACCTGTAATCCTAGCACTCTGGGAGGCCAAGGCAGGTAAATTGCCTATGCTCACATGTTCAAGGCCAACCTGAGTCAGAGTGAGACCTTGTCTCCTAAAAATAGCCAAGTGTTGTGGCTGGTTCCTATAGTCCCAGCTACTTGGAAAGCTGAGGCAAGAGAATCACTTGAGCCCAAAAGTTTAAGGTTGCAGTGAGTTATGAAGCCACAGCACTGTATAGAGGGCAACAAAGTGAGACTCTGTCTCTAAATAAATAAATAATAAAAATATTTCTAGTAAAGGAAATGGTGTAAACCTAAACTAACAAAAGTCAAAGGTGCTTAAAAAAAAAGGAAACCTTTTAATGTCCTCTTAATGTTACACATTACACAAGCATGTTTCGTAGGTAAACTCTGTTTTCTTGAGAATGAGTGAATAACTAAAATGTTTTCTTTGCTATCGCTAGAGAGCCTATTTAAGGTCTGAAGTCCCAAACTGGCCTATTGGCTGGTTTATTTATTGCCAAAGCATATAAATAAAATGTGCTATGCTCAGAATGCAGTTTGTTTGTTTTGAGATAGAGTCTGACTATGTCACCCTTGGTAGAGTGCTGTGGTGTCACAGCTCATAGCAACTCAAACTCTTGGGCTCAAGCAATTCTCTTGCCTCTGCCTCCCAAGTAGCTGAGACTACAGGCACAATGCCTGGCTATTTTTGTTGTTGTAGTTGTCATTGTTGTTTGGCAGGCCCTGGGCAGGGTTTGAACCCTCCAGCCCCGCTGCATGTGGCTGGTGCCAAGCACAGAATGCAGTTTTTTAAAATTTCAGATTAATATAAGGGTACATGTGATTAGGTTACATTGTTTGTGTTTGTTAGGAAAAGTCTGAGTTCTAGTTGTTTTCTTTACCCGTGAAGTGTGCCATATATCAGTATATTTTTCCCTTTGGGTAAGAACTTGCCAAACCCTCCTCCCTTTCTACCCCAGAATGCAGTTTTCTTTCTTCCATTTCTCTTTTAAATTTTATCTTGCACTTATCTGTTGTTGCATAAGAATCACTTCATCACACTGTAGCTTAAAACAATAATGATTTGGCTCGGCGCCTATAGCTCAACCGGCTAAGGCGCCAGCCACATACACCTAAGGTGGCGGGTTCGAATCCCCAGCCCGGACCCGCCAAACAACAATGACGGCTGCAACCAAAAAATAGCCGGGTGTTGTGGCGGGCGCCTGTGGTCCCAGCTACTTGGGAGGTGGAGGCAGGAAACTCGCTTGAGCCCAGGAGTTGGAGGTTGCTATGAGCTGTAATGCCATGGCACTCTACCCAGGGGGACAGCTTGAGGCTCTGTCTCAAAAAAAAAAACCAATAATGATTTATTATTTCCTCTGATTCTGTAGGTTAGGAATTCTGAAAGGGTTTGGCTGGATAGTTCTGCTCCGTATGGAATCAGCTAGAGTCATAGCTGCATTTAGTTGATGTCTGGTAGCCAATCTAGAAGACCCAAGCAGCTTCACTCACATGTCTAAAACCTCATTACTCCTCCAGTTGGCCTTGCTACCCAGCCAGCTTTGACATCTTCATAGCATTGCTGTCTCCAGGTGGTGGAGTTGGACTTTTTACTTGCCTTCTGGCTTCCACAGAGAGCATCCCAATATGTAAGTGGTCATCAAGCCTCTGTTGGTGTAGCATTTGCTAATGTCCCCTTAGCCAAAGCAAGGCACATGGCCAAGGCCATATTCATTGTGGAAGGGGCTACATTGGGGTTTGAATACATTGGTTCCTTGGGGACCACTAATGTAACAACCGGCCACAACCTTGTTTTGCCTTTGTCCCTGATTTGATCTCTCCACTGACTCCTTTGAGTGTTCTAAATGTTTCTGAGTTATTTATTCTTTGACAGTTTATTTCTGGAAATAGTGCCTACCTGGGTTAACTATGACAACCAACAAAAACATGTAGCCTAAAGGTACACTTCATGCACACCTGGACCCATTGTATCCTCACCTCACCTTCCTTGGCTCCTCCAGTGAGTCTCATTTCAGATGATTGAGCTCTTTGACTCATGCATACTATATCTGATTCTTAGCCAAGTTTGTCTTGAGCAGGTTATGATTGTACATGACTGAACATGTCCACAGCGGGGAAACTTTGAGTTTTGATTTCATGGCTCAATCATTAAGTGATTCCTCTCATTTGAGAGATCATACAAATTATGTCCCAGTGGGAGGCAGAGGAAGCAATCTGGAATATGGCTCACCTGTAAGACTGTAGTTTCTTCATTTGATGTATGCCTCTAATATAAAGATCATAGCTCTCTTCCTCCTTCTAAAACTTTTTCATGTTTACTTATATATTACATGATTATACAGGGTGTCCATAATGTTCATATACAATTTATTATGGTTAACCTATTTTAAATTGCACGTGAACTTTATGTCTACCCTGTATATAATACATTATATAATATATAATAATATAGATATATAGCATGATAGTTATATAATATATGTAAAGATGGATTTCCTATACAAAAGAAGAAAAGAAACCAAATCTCTGGAATGTAATAGCTTTTTCTAGCATTTCTAACAATTCAAAAAATTCAAAATCAGCTAGGTGCCCATAGGTCAGTGGGTAGGGCACCAGCCACATGCTCCAGGGCCAGTGGGTTTGAACCCGGCCCGGCCCAGGTCTGCTACTCAATAATTCAAAATTGGTACTTTCAGGATGCTAAATAAAATTAAAGGAGAGAGGAAAAACTTATGTCATTCAAAGAATGAAGACAAGAATAATAAATCAAGAAATGAAGTCTTCTAGTAGCCGTGGAAACCAAGCCTTATTCATTCTTTGAACATTAAGTTCATTTGGTACTTTCAAAACAGGTAAAAATGAGTATCATTATTGTCAGGAGGGAAATAAGGATTGAGGAACTATTATTCTGAATTCACAAGGCAATTAGAAAATTATTTAGATTCTCAACAAAGGAAATAATAAAAATTTTGGTTTTGTCTACCTCACATAGTTGTATCAAATAATA